GGTAAGGTACGTTGGTGGCTCACGTACATATCGGCAAGCAAGCATGGATAAGAAAATGGAAAAACATGGCTATTGACTTAGATACTATGTAGATGGCTGATGACATGCCGCATAAGTACCGTATAAGACACTGTTTGCTTATTTCTACCTACACCCATCTAACTTAGCGCAAGCCCATCTGCCCCCCAATGAGAAAAGGACGAAGCCTGTGCTTCGACGAAATGTGACGAGTCGCAAATACCTAACGGCACAAGCTTGCAAGCATCCGTGGATAGCGAAGTCCTAATTTAAATATTTGGCTACTCCGCCCCGTCCAACATAACACGATTTTCGTAACACCTCGAATCTCGATGGAGTGTTTGGACTGACTACCTAGACTTCAAAGAGTATTCTGATCTAACACATATAAAACTTTGAAACCATGTTGGTTCTTCACGGTCATGCTCGTCCCATCGCAGAATGAAGTAATAAATGGTCTGTACTTCAAATCCGAAGCTATTGTGTAGGATTTCCATTCGCCCGCATATTATGATGCATATAAGAGCCAGGGCTCCAAATATAGGACTCAGCCGAAAAGGGTTTCTTAGATAATAAGTACACATCAGGCTAGCCCAGAGGCTTCATTACACGCTGAGTGCTCTTGTATATTCCTGCGCACATGAATATCGCACACTAGATGCTGTGCTTTAATCCACGACGGAACCGTACGGATACTTTCAAGGCAAAAGAGCGAACTAGTCGACTCTCTAATAACTCAAAGCTGGGTCCAATGTGAAGACCGTAGCCTACATGTATGTATGTACGTACTTACAATAACTCGCGACAGCACCACGCCTCAAGGATCCCATCCATTGATTCCATTCATTACTAACCGAGTTACAATTTGTCAAGTCGTTTACGTAGAAAAAGCAAGGGTACCGCCACCTATTGAAGTTGGTTGGGCTAATGTAATATAAATTCGTTCCGAGCTTGTCGAGTGTCAGGTTCTGGGAAATCTCGGGCGCCATCTGTGCTTCCAGATGCTGTACCGTTCAGCGTTGCATCTTTCGGATTTGCTACCGAGATGACCCTACAAACCACCAGACATTATCGTACGGGTCAAGCCTACCAAAAGCAAAATTCTGGGCCGAAGTCCAAGCCTCGTGCGATGCAATCAATACATGGTACGTATGATATTCGTACCTGAGGTAATGTATGATATTCTACGACCCAAACTTCTGGGATGTATCATGTCTACTTCGTGGGCGCCTATCCTTTTCCCCATAAACATAAGCCCCAATACCCAAGTTCATTCTCCACGAATTTGCCGTGTCGATCGATGGGCTTTATTAGCTACCAACAGAGTCAATACTCATTATAAGCTTTCGGCCAACCTTAGACTAGGTCTCTCCATCAGTGTTGGTGCCTACCTACATAACCTACCTAAGGTATGTATGTACTTATACCATTCTGTGTAGTTGGTTTTTGGTAAAGGCTACATGTTGTAGCCAGACGGCGTCTTGATTAGCTCTCCCTTGGCGACATTGACATACAGTGCCAAGGCAAACAATAGACTCAACGCCAGTTGTTCGTCTGATGTCGAGATGAGACGACGTGCTGCACCCCGTTGCCGCCGTCTCGACTGAACTCTGATGTTGCCAGTTGGCGCGGCGGCCCATCAGTCCGGGCGAGCTTAGTCTGCTTAAGATGCTTCAATTACCGCTAGTCTGGATGACCTGGGTGGTTGGAACGACATGTTGGAACGTCGGTTGGTTCGTCCCTACAATTTTGACTTTCGATCAAGGGCTGCATCTAACGCGGTGATAGGTCGTCCTCAAATCATGGCGTCGTACAAGTACGGCCGAAAACCCTGTCGGCCCTTTCCACTGGGATGTATGTATACTGACTCGACAGAAACCCGGTCTCGATCATCGGTGCTGTGAAACGGCCACTCGTGATCCCATTCAAATTTATCTCCCCTCAAAACCCGGCAGTGCCCTACCCAACCTGCGTCCATGGATCCCGAGCTGGCGGCACCAGTTCCTCCCAAATATGCTGTGCTCTTGCCCGGGTCTTCCTAGATCGGTGGGAGGACAGGCGACTGGGACTCAATTCGCCGGTGGTGATCAGTTGTTTGTTTGGCAAACGCGAATACATGCATTCATACATACCTACACGATAGTGTAAACCCTTTCGTCCAAGGTTAGATCGAGTCTCCGTACGTCTCAACCCGCCGTCCTCTCTAATGAGAAACTAGGTTAAGCATGCGTGTTCACTGGGGTTGTCTAGTAGTCCACGTGTATCATGTCTCGAAGCCACCATTTCCGCCTTTGTTCCTCCCTCGCGTGCGAAGCGCATGCCCATCACCCATTTCGGCAGCCGGCCATGGATGTCTACCACTTTTACGGTAGTAACATAGCTGATTTGCCGTGAGCCTTCGTCATTTATGACAGAATGTCCCTGGCCAAGGTTCAATCTATGTAAGATAGATTGGTAGAGCGACCCAGCGCCAGAGCTACGGCTCCGAGCACTACGAGTCGATGTCATCACTCTCCATATCAGTTCAAACCTTACATACCTACATACATACAAATTGTACAAGGCACCAGAACTCCGAGTCTCCGGTCCTCCTAGAACCTGCATCGGCTACCTGCATGGAGGGAACTCGGCTGGGCCATCCCAGATGGCTACCGGCCGTCTAATCTTGCCTGCAGTGGAGCTTTCGTTCGCTTCTTTTTGCAGCAACGAGATGCTACCGGCAAGGCGCGTAACGTCTGCAGGCTACCTACATTGGTGTCGTTCGCCACGGATTACCTAGGACAATGAAACTGCGTGTCCTTGATCGTTTTTCAAATGTGATAATTCCGCCCGAGGCTTCTTTAGCCGAGTTATCACGCCACAACTTCGACAGCGTGGTGGCATGACGGTTAACAATTCGAACCCTCCGCTGTCTCTGAGATTGCCCTCATGTCTGCGGGCGTACTCAGCATGTGTCTCTTGAATCTTGATACTGATTGACGGCGGTGTCGGTCATAACATTCGTCATGCTAGTGGTCTGTGTCTCTTCGTTTCGCCCAATGATCAAGATGCGGCACACCCTGTTACACTAGATCGCCTTCCATATGGATGGAACGTAAGGATTCCTATCACAAGAGGTGACCATAACCTATAGGTGCCGGGGTAAATATTTTCACGAAGCATGTGTACACATAGCTAGAAAACGTCCACCTCGACCTCTCTTCGCGCCTTGCCTGGTATTATCTCGACCTGACCGGCAGGGAAACTCGTCACAATGCGAAGGACCCTACTGGCTAACTGCATCTATCAAGTTGCACGGCTTTCTCAGTAGCCGAGACCAGTTTGCCACACGTTGTTTGGCGGTCAAACACAGCCCCTTCATATGTTTAGAGTCAGTGTGGTGAATAAGAATATGATTTGCCCAGGACGAGGAAGCATTCCCCGGTACGACGGACCAACATCGACATAGCATTCCATCGATATCTCTACCTACCTAGCTTACAAAGGGTTTAGTTGTGTTTTGCTAGTACCCATGCGGACGGGCAAACAAAGCAGTTGGTCTTGCTCTCACGACGCTAGAAGTAATAGCGCGTAAGCGGCAGAGCTGATCATATATACCAAACTGTTTTCTTCCTGTGCAGAAGATGCAGAAGGATTCGTGTTGGCAACCCTTAGCGCCGCCACCATCCTCTAGAGTCTGATCGAAGCCTCAGGCTCTTGCGCTAACCACACTTCTGCTGTTCTACACCCATCCCCTACACATCCCTTCCCGGCCCTGACTGCGTCTGCGCTCCCCTCTCCATCTCCTAGGCAGCATGCTCATCCTCAACCCTGCGCCCCTCCTACCCCTACGTCTCTGCTGAGTCTGCTCATCCCTCCCGATCCTCTTCCTCCTCCTATTTCTGTTGTTCCTGGACCAGGGGCCCAGCTGCCGCGGCCACTCGAAGACGGGCTCGAGCCACCTCTCCGGGACGGCAGAGGAGGATCCGTCGGGGCGGCTAGATCGCGGCCCCAGGATGTACTGCCAGCAGTGGGCGAAGACGCAGATCAGCGTCATCACCACGGCCACGCCGACGGCGGCTACCGCCATCGCCGTGATGAAGGCCTTGGGGAAGTCGGCCGGCACCGCGACCTCGTCGTCTGGTGCCTGCGCGCGGATTTGGGGGATGGAGGCGGAGAGGAGGAGCGTAGTTGTCGTGAGTAGTGGTGTCATCTTTTTGATTGTCGTCAGACGTTTCTTAAAGTACTCCGAGTGAGTGAGTGAGTGAGGTGAAGAGCTCGCACCACACAGAGCGAGGTTCCTAGGGCTTCTGTCCCGTTTGAAATCCTAATAGTGCACCGTAAAGAAACGAGTTGAGTATTTGGGATGGTGGATGGATAGGTAGGATTTGCTTCGTTGATGACATCTTGCAAGAGAGAAGAAGCGAGAGAGACGTCTCTTAAAATTTGCCCAGCCATATGAAGCCTTTGAGCTATCCTGTTCCATCTCTGCTCGTCATGATTCTTCGACATTTGCCGATTGCGCCGATACGAAACGGCAAACCTGCTGTCGCAAACCTAAACTTCGTAGTCAAGAAGATGCGAAATGCGGCTTGGTGTTGGCGCGAGTTTAAGTCTCGGTTTGATGGCGCCCGACATTGACATGTGCTGGCAATCACTCATCGTTTGTGGGCGGTCTATTTAACACCACGCATTACTTCGATTGCCTGGCCGCCGTAGTTGGCGGCTTCGGGGCCATGATGTGAAAGTAGGATAATGATATATAAAATGAAAATATTCTAACAAGTCCGTCGTGATCGCAGAACTCACCCTTTCGTCCTCATTCACTTAGCCAGATACATGCATGTATAGAATTCTGGTCTTATCCTCACGGCGATTCAAATATTGGAACGCCACAAATGAATATTCGAGACGTAAAAGAAGCGCATTCAAAAAAAATGAAAGTAGGCCAACCTGAAAGATAAAACAAGAAACGATGCTTAAGAGTGAAAAAATAATAATCCTGACAACACGGGGATTCGAACCCCGGCCTCTTTCGAGAGTGGGATTCTCTTTTAGAAGAGAAGAAGAGTAAGGCTCTTGAATCCACCGCCATAACCGCTCGGCCATGTTGCCTTGATAGGATTGACAAACAATTTTCAATAAGGCAGACTATCAGTCATGCGGACACGGTGCAAACTTTGTCACACTTATCTTCGGAGCTTGAGTAGGTAAGCACCGATATGAGAGGTCACGTGATGCGCCTCGTAGAAACCTGTCTGGGAAATGACCCTCGGGAGCCTCGACGCAAATAAACAGTGCTTCATGAGTTACTTCGCTAAGGGGGGTGGGTGTAAGTGCGTTGTGAAATAATCTGCCTATGCTGTGAGGCCGATGTAGATTGTTCACTCTAAGGTGCCACACTCAGCTCTAGCAACACTCTTCATCCATGTTTGCTCCTCCCCGGAGTCCTTTTCACAGGCACATACGGACAGTTCCCCCAAACGGATGACATCAAGGAGCTGAAGTCTGTTAGAACACCGGCAGAATACCTGCCTATCTATCTCCTTACCTCGCAGCAGACAGATATCTCAAGTCTCTTGAAAGCTCTCTTCAGAAGCTGGTGTTGAACTGTATACTGGACACCTGACTCTCCAGTAGAAGCCCCGTATTCAAGCCCATCAACTCCCTTAGTATGGCGATAGGTAGAGTCTGAGTAAAGATCCAGGAGTTAATTACGATAACTACCTTAGGTATCTTTAGGCATCAAACTTCTACCCATTTGAGTTATTATAGTTAAGTCCACCTACCTGTGTACGAAGTAGGTAGATAATAACACATATAAAATGCCTCCTGTCGGCCGCCACGTCAAGGCGTGACACAGGCCGGTGGGCGAGTGCGCCTTACCCAGGCTTCCAACGTCGTGTACATTCCCTGGGTTGAGATAAGTTTCTGACGGCGACAATGGCAGGGTTCGACTCGCCATTGTGCAGCGCACGCATGCACAGCCAGGTGTAGAGCCTTGAGACCATTATATACGAATCTAGTTTCAATAGTCAAGAGATTCACACTGTCTCAGTCTATGTGATTTTTTTAGTACAGATCGCTCCATTTCCTGCTTGGCCTTGCTGTCAGTCCATGTTATTACGCTACTGAGGAGACTATGATGAGATCCAATATGAGTGTAGGAGACCATGATATGGTACCGAAGGAGCTTGCACATCACAGCAGAACAGTCCTGGCATGTCCGCGTAGATGAGAAAAGTCCATGACACAGGAATCATTATAATCCAAAGCACACGTAAACACTGCAACAATCAATCAGTCAAAACAGCGAAGGGTATTTCATTCCCCCTATCCTACCTACACTATCATTAAGTATTACATCCAACTGATCCGTCCTTCCACCTCCATCCCCATTAGTACGACGGGTATAATGCCATCCATCCACCCCTTCACCACTTCTTTCCTTCTTTCTTTCCAAACGAGCGAAACGGGGTATAAAACTACTAACAAAAAAACGACGATACGACGGCCCCCAGACCCAACAGCGTAAGCGGTAAAACCAAGTCCCAAGATTGAAGTCGTGTAAATCGTTGCTTCTAAATCGTTCATCCAATTATCGTAAAGAGCGACAGGCCCAGCCTACCATTGCTTGACACCAGACAAGGCCGGGTACCCAAGGCTGTTTTCTTATATTTGTTATTAAAGTTTTGCTTCTTCTTCTTCATCTCCTTCCAAAAGCGCCATGCGACGGGAAGGCCGGCCGGTTTCGCGAGGAGACCTGCAAGCGACGTTCAACGCGGAGCGAAGCCAGGCCGGGGCGGGTCGTGAAGACCTGTAGCCGTATGCCGCTGTCTACGCGGCCTGCTCGCCAACGATGGGTTGGGCCGGGGCGGTGGCAGTCTTCTCGGGGAAGGCACCGCCAGCCTGCGGGACGCGGCCGTACCGGGTGAAGGCGATGTTGAGCTTGCCGTAGTCCCAGTTGCGGGACAGGATGAGGAAGGTGAAGGACAGCACCGGGATCAGCAGCACGTCCAAGACGCCGAAGAAGATGTAGGCCGGAGTCACACCGATGCGGTTGCCGCCGTCAGACAGACCCCAGGCGATGGGGTACAGGAGCCACAGGAAGTTGACCCAGCCTGCCAGCAGAGTGTCTGTTATCAAGTTAGCCACCGTTATTTGCGGCAAAGCGTGGCGATTGTCCCCGTCGAGTAAGACTTGGACATCGGGATAATACGTACGGTCCCGGGCGAGCTCGACACGCCTGGCGGAGGTTGATCCGCCGATGAGGGTGCTGAAAGCCAGTAGAGCCCATGCGGTTGTTCCGAAGGCATAGAAACCCCACTTGTAGTTGGAAGTCGTGAAGGCGGAAACGAGATAAGAGATGACCCTTCTACCAGTTAGCGGATCCCTAAATTAACTCCATCTCGAGCTACTGTTACTTACCAGGTCCACGACAGAGCGACGTTGTAGAGGATGGTCGCCCACGAAACACCGCTCACCAGGCCCAGAGCGATGGTAACGACGGGGAAGCTGACGACCCAGTTGACGTACTCGGCCCAGAAGATTTGGCGGACCCACCCGTCGACGGGCCTGTAGTTAACGACCGGAACCACCTCGTAGGCCAGGTCGGAGGCGATGGCGAAGTAACTGATGGAGCCGACGAGGAGGGCGATAGTGAAGAGGTAGTGGAAGATCTTCTCGCCAGATCGGGCTACGAAGCTAGTAGCATAGAAGGCGATGAAGGAGACGACATAGATCGCCGTAACTGCCCATAGCCAGTCGCTGCCGTTTACGCTGAGCTCCTCGTCGCCGCTCGGCGGGTTGATAGAGAGAGCATCGTTTGCACGACGGAATAGAACGGCCATGGCGATTAGTTGAAGGTTTGGTATCTATTAGGCAAGCCTGAGTTGTTTGAATAGGGGGTTCTCACTTTCAAAGTGAGGGGGAGAAATCTGATATATAACCTTTGGATCACGGTATTTGCTGTGATTCGCTGAGGAGCTGGAACTGTACAAGTAGAAAAGCAGAGGGGGCTCGGCTCGTATTATAGGAAAATCTCCCCCAATGTACGGGCATCGATGATCGAGCGCCGTAGAGTTGCACTATCGCAAATATCGGAGCTCGATTATTGGCGATGACTCAATGGGCTAAGTGCGTTTAGCAGCGACGATCAAAGCCGAGATCTGTACGAATGTATTCCGGTCAGATGATCATATGATGCATCCACCACTCACCATGGAAGCTTCTACAAAGCCCGGCAGGGTGCGGGCGTCGACGGATCATAGGTGATGCGTTTGTGGCATGGGATAGACTATGTACAGATCCCCACTCGGAGCTGTATTCGGAAGCAGAGATTAGAGGCGGGAACCACGGAATAACGCGGTGTCAGAAGACTAGCGAAAGGAAAACTCGGGCGGCATTAGAGCCTTTGTGACACAATGGGTCTCGAGCCAATATGGTTGATGATCCCTCAGCCCTAATGTGAGGAAGCTATGTACAAGATTCATAGGCTATCACAAGAACGTGGCAGCTCTTGACCGGCTCGAACCGGGGTTAGATAATTTGTAATGGCACCTGGTTTGATTATCTGATATGTCCGTTGGTAGGCAAAGAGGATGCCTCGTTCCATCTTACATGTAGGAGACTCGAGGAAGACGATTGTTCATCAGAAGGGCGCGACCTGACGCCATGGTATGGTAAGCAGATGCAGAAAAAAAAAGCTCAGCGATTGAGTCGAGATGCCAACGGACCAACGGCGTTAGTGATGTGTATGGTAGCAATGAGCGATGGATGTTCGCGGCAATGGGCGACATTGGTGTATTGGCTCACGGCAGCATCGGATGAGCTAACACAAGATGCACGATTCGAAACTGGTGACAGGTCCCCGCCCAATGCTCGACCACGTTCGGCCAGAAAGGGGCAAAGGTCATACCAAATGGTATTAGCCATCGTCGAAACAATGCCGGAGCTTGCAGTAGTGGGAGCTTCTATTCCGATCAAGGCCGGTAGACGGTAGACATCAGGCGAGTGAAGGCAAATGCAGAGTGGCGTCTGCTTGACGTGACGTGACGTGATTATAGACAATATGCACATTTTGAGATGAGCTAATCAATCATACATATTGCCTACCTTGCCTGCCCAGCATCACTTGGATTCACCGGTTCGTGTGCAAGATGAACGTCCATGAAGGAAATTTCCATTCATTACTGGCCTCGGAGCTGGAGGTGTGATATTGATCAATTGTTCTCGGTTCGTCGTGCCCATCATTACCTACTCTGTTATGTCCAGTCGGAGATCAAAAGTTGAAGGAGGGGCATTGGATGTTGGACCATTGAGAGCCTCAATTTGGAGCTCAGTAGGTAGCTCAATACATAGTCCCCGGCTTTCACGGAATCTACCATGCAAATCCAGATGCGACGCTAAACCCGTCTGAGATGACGATCGACCTTGCAGGTATCATGCCACCAGACGAGGCTTTTTGTCTATCAGTCAGTCGAACTGAGTCGAATTGAGGAGAAATGGGCTTATAGCCGACAGAAGGTGTAATGTAAGGAGTAAGTAAGCTGATAAAGTTGGTTTAAACGTCAGAACGTTCAAGTCTTTTCGAGCGCCACGCGCATCAGGGTGGGTCAGAAACTCCGGATTCTTCGGCAGCAGTGCGGTACTCCGTCAAGTCCAGCTTCTATGTGCAAGTAGTTCATCAATAGGTAACTAGCTGGACAAGCAGGCAAGTTCGTCTCCATTATCAATGGAACTTTTACTTGTTCACGGTATCCATCAACTAAAGACAGGTGCCGTAGCCTGTCCAAGCGATCCCAGACATCCCAGACATATGTAAATCAAACCGTGGGTCTTAAGCAAATGTTTTGTATTCTCCGATCTCTGATCCTCAGTTGATCCCCAAAATGCAGTCTTCTCCTCACATCTCACATCTCATCTTTTCCCAATTAGTAGTCATGTCTTTACATGTGGCTTTGGGGCGCGCTCTCACTCGCTCGGTAGCCAACAAGTGAGAATGCGGCGCTGATTCATGTCCGCTGCGACAGCGACAGCGACAGTGTAGTCGGACCTCAGCAAACCATGTCACTCGTGCCACCCACACCGCTCGCGCCATTGGTTCACCTCCTGAA